ACACACACACACATATATATATATATATATATATTTTTTAAAAAGTTCAAACACAAAGCCATGAAGAGCCTCTTGTGAAAGAGGTGCATAATAAAACTACTAACCAGCGGAGACAGTGCCATTTTAAGAAAAGCAATTAACCTGGTTACAGAGAGGTGTCTTATGTAAATAATAAACTAATGTGGCTCGTACACGGTTTGTGTGTGATCCTGTCCACTAAAATCACCTAACAGCTTCACCCTTCGCTTCTGCCGGCCGCGAACTCCACGGAGTCCCCGACCTCAGAGGCGCCGCCTCCTGCCTTGCTTGTGAGCAGTGCGCATGCGCTGTGGCTGATTCAGGGCTTGCCACTTGCAGCGTTGTTTTTTTGTACGTGTACTCTCATCTGGGTTTTGTAACTGCAACTCTCGAACAAAAGTTTAAACCTCCCTTCCCCCCTTTTTGCTGTAGTCCCTGGTGTCCTTCACCCACAGGCTGTGACTCGGTGGGTGATGCGGGCCACAGGAAATGTCGTGTACTGTATGTTACCTGGTGACAGTCGCTTCCCGCCTCCAGAGTTCAGTTCCCAGACTCCAATAAAGCTCCTCCCCTCCTCCTCTTCCCTCTCCCCCTCCCCCTCCTCCTCCTCCCCCCCCTCCTCCTTTGTCCAAGTTCTTTGCCTGGAGGTGATGTGTGCAAACCCTGCCTAGGGTCTCTGCCTTTGCAGGTCTTTGGCCCAGTCTCCAACCCTTCCCAGGTACTTGTGCAATGATTGTTTTTACTGCTGGATCTCTGAAGGTTTTTAAAAAAGTGCCATTTCTTTATTTGATCACCGAATTCTCTCTGCAAAGGGACCTGACCGGAGCGCGGTCACCTGTCTGTGGTGCTGGGTTGAGCCGGGTGCCCTCCTCGGGGTGAGGGGCTGGGGCTGGGCCCTGTCCCCACCATGCCATCCTGCCGTAACCGTGCTGTTGGTCGCACAGAGCCGTTCGTGCCGGAGGGCTACCTGCCTGAGAGCCAGCCCTTCGTCCTGCCGGTGGAGCCCGAGCGGACTGCGGACTACGAGGAGGACTACGGCGCTGATGAGCCCACGGAGCCGCGTCGGGGCCCCGGGCGGGCCTGAGCGTAGCAGGGAGGTCGGGGGTCGCGTTCGGGGTAGAGAGAGCAGTGTGCCACTTTTCTGGGACGTTTCACCGGTGTTGCTTCACCCACGGGTACGTTTCTGACTGCAGAGAGCGTCGCATCTGCGGGACCCCAGCTCGCTGTGCAGCCCGCAGACATCCCTGCCTCAGCCTCCACTCGCTTGCCGAATGCCTGCTCACTAAAGCTGCTCAGAGAGAAGGTGCCCTTCGGGGCAGCTTCAGCGAAACGCTTGGGTTAAACAGTAGGTCCTGGAAACCAGCGCTGCTGTGCACTTCCAGAGAGAAGATTATCCTTCCCAGCATTTGTCTGCAACTAGTTACACCATGGTTCAAGTTAATTCCCTCCTAAAATCACACGGGAGAGAAGCAGCACCCCATGCAACTTCGGATCTTTCCCTTCTCTGTTCTGTGTGTAGGGCCTAGACCCCGCTCATGCATCCCCCGCACAAGCACAGACCTTAAGCCATGTAGCTGAAGTTATTGTATCAACCGGGTACAGTTCCACCTCCCCTTAAATCTCCTTGTTCTAGACACACTAACATTTATGCCGAACTGCAGAGTGTTCTGCAGAGATGAAATTGCATGTTTGTGTTGTATATTTAGTATGAACTTTCCTCCCCCAGAACATAATGTTTCTTAGTTATCAAAAGCAGTTGGAAAATGTTTGCAAGACTATGAACATAGAATTGCTGCTTTTATATTTTAACTGCAGATTGTGAATTTCACTGCCTTATATTATTTATTTCTGAAACAAAAGAGGCATTTTTCAATAAAACTACTGAAAATCTGACATGGTATGTTTTTTTTTTTTTCTTTGAAGGGCCTTTTGGACTGCTTAGGCGGTTGTTACAACAAACAAATTCATATCCTTGGATACGGTTACAAATCTTTCTAATACTATTAAATTATGCTAAATAACTTTAGATTTTTAATGATATGATGAAGTCATTGAAAGAGAGTGGAGAGAGCCTTAAAAAGCCCAGCAGATTCCAAAAGTTTTATTAGGCACATAGAGGATGTGTGGGCTGGGAAAACAACTAGGTATCCTAGGAGACCCCAAACAACTAAACAATTTCTAAGAACCCACAGGATTTTGTATGCATCGAACTATTTTCCTATACTATCCTCTGCCCAATAGCAAGTTTCATTGCAAAAAGGAAAATTCCTTAGGGGAAAATTTTACATTTAGCAGTACCTTCCTTTTAGCACTATTAAATGTAATAAGATTCTAAACATCAACTAAAACAATGTAAATGTTGGTTTGAAAGACTCAACATCAATGGGAGAGAGAGAGAGAGAGAGAGAGAGAGAGAGAGAGAGAGAGAGAGCGGGCAGGTGAGGCTGGCAGACATTTTCCACAGAACTAAATATCTGAACTAAATAGTCCCTGGGGGCCAAGACAGAAAAGCACAGATGATACATAAATGTATCATGGGTAGGAGGCCTCTGTCAGATAGCTAACCTGTCTCAACCCTTGAACTTCAAAGCTAGAAGACACCCGAGACCGCCAATGTTGTCCCATCCTAAGTGTGGCTTAGAGTGGGGAGGAAAAGAAGACTCAGATCAGGACTGAGATGGAGTCTTAGGGTTCTTAACCCCGCAATGTAAAATTTATCCACAGATGGTCCCTCTTAGTTATATTTTCTGAATTAAATATTAAAATTATCTGTGTAATCCCTGAGTGAACATATGCTAACTAAACTACCGGGAGAAGAGGCCAGATAGCCTGGCTTTAAAGACTAAATGTAAAACTCACAGAAATCAGATATGCAGGTGCTAGTTAATTTAGCTCAATGTTCTCTGAGGGGAGTACAGTACAACTTGGAACACTCTCCCTAGCTCTTTTAACTTGCAAGCATTATAAGAAATTTACTATGTATAACTTATATTTGAAAGGAAGGCTTTTACTTTTAAGAAAACAACCTGAAATTCCTGGGAGAGGAGGCTAGAGCTTCTAATGAGGTTTATAGGGGGAAAGGTTTCAAGAGTTACAAATAACATTTGCATAGATCCCAATTCCTGAGTACATTTACAGAATATTTTGTACAGTAAAATTAATGATTTAGGCTGGGTGTGGTGGCACACACCTATAATCCCAGAACTCTGGAGGCTGAGGCAGGAGGCTTGCCACAAGTTTGAGGCCAGCCTGGGCTATGTAGTGAGTTCAGAGCCAGCCCGAACTACAAAGTGAGACCCTACCTCAAAACAAAAAATAAAAAAAACAAAAAACCAAGAATAAAATTAATGACTTGGTAAGTGTAACAAGGGGTTGGCATTCATTTTTGGGTCTAGGAGGAATTTTGCTGCCTATACAATTTCTCAAACTTACATTCTGTACAAATAAGATCAATATAATTTTTTCTAAATATTTACTATTCATTATATTCAATACTTTATATCTGACATGTCAGATTTGCCCTCATTTGGCTTTAGACGTAACTCTCCATAACAAAAGGGGTTTTTATTAGACTAAGTGCCTTACAAAGATCAGCCAGTGAGAATCTTCGTACGTGTTTTATTTTTAAAAGGTAGCCTTTTAGAAACAAAGTAATATTGATCCCTAACTTCCTTTATGGTTTATATGTGAGTCTATCCAAACTATTATTTGTTAAGCTCCAGATCAGGCTGCTGAAGGCTACTGGAAGAAAATCCCCTGCACCTGACTTTGGGGAATGACTTCCAGTCCTGTCACCAACCCTGATACCATGCTCAGTTCCACATCAGTACCTAACTGCAGATCCCTCCCCAAAGTCCCACAGACATTAAATGTAACACAGTTTAGCTACTGCAGAAAGCAACGAAATAATGGTGGCTATAGGAAGTAGAAATTTATTTAGTTCTCATGTTTGAGAAGGCAAGGGCCCAGGATCTTTCTGACTTGCTGTACCTCTTTTTATGGTTTTCATGGCCAAGTAAGCTCATGGTCCATGATAGTGAAAAATCACTATATTTATTATATCCATCTTCCAGAAGGAAAAAGAAATTTATGAAGAAAGCATCCTACTTTTTGTATATACTTTCTGGAAGTTGCAAACAATTTATGTCACATATCATTAGCCAGAACTTAGCTATTTGGCTACATCGACCTATAAAGGGAAGTGAGAAATATTATCTTTATTTTAGCTGGTCATTGTCCAGTTAAAATCAGCTACCCCGTTACCATGGATGAAGGAAAGTGCCAACTGGGAATCAGCTCAAGTCTCTAGTTTTTGATACATTGTCCAAATGTGGTTGTATCTCCCCATAACTTTGATTTCCTCCATTTTCACTGCCATCTGTCAAGTTACTCAGGATGGAAATCTGAGAGTTATTGTAAACTATCTCTTCTTTCACTCCTCACATCCAATCAGTCACGAGGTCCTATATATATAGCTGATCAATCTTGTTATGGCTATTCAGTGTCACACCCTGGGGATTTTTCGTTATGATTAGATAAGTCTTCCAGATGATCTCCCTTCCTGTGTCCTTGACTTCCCTCAGGAAAGTCTTTGTACAGTCCTAAAGTCTTTTAAGTAAAACACAAGCCAGGTCAACTACGTCCCCTGCACAACATCCTGTGGTGAACACATTTCTCCATCACTCTTGACTTTGCCAATCGCCTGTGTCTCGATTCTCACAAGCCATTCCTGAACCTTCTGAAATTCCCATTGTTAACAAACAGCCCCAAATCCTCATATCCAGAGCAAACCTCAGCATCGTGGCACAGCCTGCGAAAGCCTCACGGAGGAAGTGGGTGTGTGAGAGTGTATGCTCCTCACTTTTGGGCAGTGTTTGCACAGCAGCAGTCCTTCCTTCTCTGACAAAAAGCCTTTCTCGCTGGCAGCTGCTACCCAGCTCTCTATTTCTCAGGCCCATTTACCTTGTTCCTGCCATCAGCACACCCATCCCTTCAGTGCAATATTTAGTGTGCGGTTCTCAGTGCTTTTCTGCACCCCAGTGCCTGTCATCTTCTGGGGAGACTTCAGCATCCAGGTTAGGAGAATAAATACAACTTCTCAGTTGACTAACTTTCTTATCTTCACGCACGTTTTCTTGTACTCAGCCTTGATGACTCCATGAATTTAATGTGAATTCATTATGCCACTATGAAGTCAGTGATGCAGCCCGTCCACGCTTCCTGGGCTTCCGGCTCTTCTGCTTAAGGGGTCCACTGCAAGTGTTCTGTGGCTTCATCGAGGTGCCATATACAGAGAACCTGCTGTGTTCTTCCCATCCATCAGCCTCTCCTTGTCTTTACTTCTTCTTCGTCTGCCTTAGGTTCCATGTTGTCGTAGCATAGTGTTTATTGGACAGCCTTAACTCCAAGGGCATATAATACTTGTTTTGCTTTTCTGTAACTTTCATCTTTGCTTGTGCTCTGTGAATATTCCATTTCTATTTCTTATCATATAGAAGAATGATCTCATTTGGGGAGGATCATTTTGAGCAGGAACATGATAATTCGGTTCAACCCAGTTTACTCCATGTGACAACTTTATCCTCAATTCCAACTTAGCTTTCCTTTTCCTTTCATCTTAGAGCCAGACCCTATAGTTGAGGATGTGGAACACAAGAGTGGCCCATCAACTTTTTCACTTCAGCTTTTCCAGGGTTCCAGTAGGGGAAGAGGACCAAGCAAAGGGAAGCCAACAGTGTCTTCACGTAGCCTGTATACTAGATCCTCTCGGGTGTCAGTGCTTACAAAAGGCAGGCCCCTGATGCCGCTCCTCTCTCGGGTGCCTCTGTATGTTTCTCAGAGGCTTGCAGGCGCCCTGCCCACTGTCCATTTATTTCCACATTGACATCTCTCAACGTCCACTCAGATTAGCTTTCTTGGAATACATCACAACTACTTGTTGCTGAGGACATCATCCCCTTTGAAGTCCTCTTAGGAGAGGGTCCAGAAGATGACCCAAGTCTGGCTGCCTTCCAAGTATCTAATGATCGTTTGTTGAGAGGCCTTATGAACTCACATACCAGCGAGATTTGGCTCTTCCTATTTTTTAATACCACGATACAAGCGAGATTTGGCTCTTCCTATTTTTTAATACCACGATACCTCTCTTATCTTTTCAGCTGACTTTTCTGACTGCAGCACACTTTCTGCCCTGTCTTGTCCTGACTCCATGCTCACAGGTGCGGCTTTTGTTTTTTTATTCCTGGAGACTCTCTAGCTTCACCTGGTCAAGCTTTACCATCCTTTAACTTGTTACAGTAACATTGCTTCTTATTAGATGCTGTTTTGTTGCTTGCAAAGTTCAGGATCCCTGCATTGCATATCGATACTACTTCCTCTCCTTTGACCTCTTTTTCTAGCAAGTTTGTACTCCATGTCTGTCTTTCCTGCTAGGTGGCAAGTTTCTTTGAGGGCAGGTACCTCCTACTACACCTAGTACCCACCACAGTGCTGGCATTCGGGTGGAATGAGTAATTTCAGATGAAACAAACTCTTTCCCCTGATAAAGTAGGTTCAGTTCAAAACACATCAAAACACTGTGTAAAGGTTGAGTCATTCAAGTGTCACTGGACTTTTTCAGCTCTACTTTGCTGCAGAGCAGAAGAGTGGGCACTGGGGGTGTTTCACTCTGAGTGTGAGCCTTGCACACAGGGAGGCTCCATTATTCCCTGCTTTGGGTTTCTGTACACTCGTGCGTGCCTCTTTTAATGTCATTATCCTACATTTGTGAATGGAAGGGAATGCGAATGAAGAAGAGTTGTTGGTGGGGGATTGGCCAGGGTACAGGAAAAATTTCACCTTCTGCTCTTATGGCAGAGTCCTGGGAAATAACATACGGGGGCTTCTCCAAACCGTCACTGAGTTGTTAATGAAAGAAGCTTGAGGTATTCCAGAAATGCCACAGAGAAGAAAGGATGTTTTCTCTTCCTTCATAAAAACAGTTCACTTGCTGAGCCACACTGAAGGCAACACCTGGCAGGATGGTTAGACAATGAGCGTGTTAAAAGTTGGCTCTGTTGAGAGAGTTACCGGTGGAAACTTTTGTTAGTCACTGGGCATTTGATTGTGGTTAAAGTTATCCCCAACAAGAGAAAGCCAAGTATGTCAAATGGGAAATATCTTTAACAAGAACGTTTCTTAAGATTTCCAAGTTAAAGCAGATGTAAGGTATTTATCAGTTTAAATTTCTGCTGTTTAGCATCCTCAAGGCAAATGCCACTGAAATATGTTGCTTAACGTCAATTTGTTTGAATGGAGCCCAAATAACAAAGACGGTTTCCACACTTACGTCTCCTATATATTCCCTTTAACTCTAGATTTTCTTATAAAAGTTATCTTGCTTATTTTTAAATGTTCACTTCTTAGCTTCTCAATTTATGTTCAAAACAGAATGCAGCATGTAACCACTACAAAAGCATATTAAGCTTACAACATGAAAGTTTAAACTTTTAATTCAGTTATAAGATTTTTTAAGCTTGTTTTTAAAGACAGAAAAAAACCAAAATTGTAACCTGCTGTGTTATTTTCTGCCTGACATATAAACGCCATCATTATGTGTTCTTTTAAGTATTATTATTTCTATTGAGCAGAGGAGATAAGAATTTCAAGAAAATTAAACAGGCAATTCTCACAGTGGGGAAGGAGAGGAAACTTCTAATCCACCTCTTTCTACTGCTCCTAGCTGCCTTCCCTGCTGCCCATAGCGATGTGGATAGAATTTGCTGTGGGACTCTTGGGTACAAACTGGCTTCCAACCTTCCTATGAATGTTTTCTGTGAACTTAAGAAGTGTCTTAGTCTGTCTTATTTCTAAGTCCTGAGAGCTTGAATTCCATATTTAACTCTAGAGTGTGTGCCGATTAATGCCAGTGTTTGCAATAGTGCTTATTACATTAAAAAGTAAAATAAAGGCCGGGCATTTAGCTCAGTGGTTCTGCTGCCTGCCTCGCAAGCACAAGGACCCAAGTTTGATCCCCAGTACTTAAATAAATAAATAAATAAATAAAGAATAAAAAGTAAAATAGAAGTTAAGCTCCATACAAATCTGGTATGAAGACACAGAAGGTCCTCTGTAATAGTTACCCCAAGCCATGAAAACGTCACTGTAGTTCAATGTCCAGCTGAAGTCTTTATTCTTTTTGTTTGTTTGTTTGTTTTCATTCTATTATTTCGAGTTTTGTCTTTTACAATTTTAGCAGCCTTGTCTTCTTTGCTTACTGGTAGAGTGAGAGACGTTAACTGCGTGACCGCGTGCGACACCTGCTCACGACGCACCTGCCGTCTTCTTTCCTCTCTCCGGCACCCTAGTGACTCCGGCCTTAGGGCTCCAGCTGGATTCCTTGGTATTCCTTGGGGGTCACGGGGAAGGGCTGTGTCAGGTTTTGGTAAGGAGTTTACACGAAGGACCTTTAACGCTCTTTGCCTTGACTTTAACAAACGGAAAGTGTGGAGGAGGAGGATGGTAGGGACGTTTAAACCAAGAAAATTCTTGGAATAGCTTTTTTTGTTTGTTTTTTTGGGATAGCTTTTAACACTTGTCAAAATCTGTTGATGAGGATAGCTTCACAATTTTTAGAGTCATTAGAATTATATCTTTAAAAAGTAACTTTGTGTTCTTAGGTTGTGGAGCCAAAGGTAATATTTTAAGAATAAAATGTGAAAGGAGCAGCCCATCTGGGGATTGATGGGAGAATAGTGAAAAAAGGGCCAAGCTTTGAGCCAGAGAACCAGGGTGTGAGGCTAGGATTCCCCACTTCCTAATTGCTTTGATAGGACAACTCAGTTTCTCCAGGCTTTACTGTCCTAATCTGTAAAATGGGAGTAAAGCTACCCTTGCAATGTTGTATTAGAGATATCACATTCATAAGCACTTAGATATAGTAATTAATTTTTAGTTCAGTAGAGGTTCTTTTTTTTTTCTCCCCCAGACAGGGTCTTGCTGTATATATAATTCAGGCTGATGTTGAACTATGCAGCCAAGGTTGGCCTTGAACTCTTGGTATTCCTCCTGCCTCAGCCTCCTGAGTACTAGTATTATAGGTATGCTCCAGCCTGAGATTCTTAAATGTGGGGATTTTTGAAAGAGCACGGAAGCCTCTCCCCCAAATTAAAACTAGACCTGTAATATGATTCAGTGATCCCACGACTAGGTGTATATCCACAGGAAATGAAATCAGTCTGTTGAAGAGACCTTTACACGCTCATGTTTAACCTAGCATTACTTCCAATAGCCAAGATACAGAATCAGGTGTCCATCATCTGATAAATGGGTAAAGAAGATGCGGTACTTATACACAATTTACACAGTTTAGCCTTTTAGCTAAAATAATATGGAAAAAATAACTCCCAACCTGTTAGATAGCGGATATACGGCACTTTTGTCTCCCAAATATTGGAAGAATGAATTTTGAGAACTATGGAAGTGTAGGAAAGATTTACCAAGGGGAAGCTCCTGAGAGACAAGAGGGGTCCCAAAAGTAAATGGCCACTGAGGGTGTACGCCTCTTTGTCGGGGTACAAAGTGGGGCAAACTACAATCCACCTGTAGGGTGATAGGGGTGTATCGTGCTTAGCGGATGTGGAGCAACAGGGAGAAGGGTCGTGTGGCAAGTGTACGCGGAGGAACACAGGCACCGTTGGGGAGCGGTGGGTGCAGGTGCTGGTCACCCACCTATACATCTGGGCTCATCTGGGCTTACCGGGTAGAATGGTGCTGGGCCGGGGATTTAGCTCAGTGGTTCTGCCATCTGCCTCGTAAGCACAAGGTCCCGAGTTCATTCCCCAATACAAAAAAAAAAAAAAAAAAAAAAAGGCGCAATACAGCAT